ACTCTTTCCACATGCAGCAAATCTGGGATATGTTGGACCTTTGGCACTACAAACTCAACGAGCTGGATGCAGAAGTGCATGATATAGTGGAACAGGATTCCTGCCACGCGCAGGAGCTGATGGATATCTTAGTGGCCCCCCTACAGAAGTACCAACAGGTCTCACAACTTGCTGAGCACAGAACTGCCATTTTAAACAAGGTAGGTGCAAATCACAAAGTGCTAAGAGACAAATTAAAAAAAACTAATGTCTTTAAAAAAATCCTTTGTGTAAAACAGCAACAAGAGCTTTCAAAAGAATGAAGAGTCAAAAGCCACTCCAGGCTCGTTGGCTTCCTGTCGCTAAAAATTGCTGGAGGGGCAATAATTGCCTCAGGCTGCCAGGCCAAAGACCCAGCTCTGCATCATGGCTGACATGGATTAGCACGGTTTGAATCCATGCCCATGGACCTGTGATGAGATGGTTCTCTATGGCTCTGCTCACTTAAATATCGTTGCCACAAAAGCCACACTAATGTTCTCATGAAATGTAAACTTGTAAAAACCAGAATTGTCCTTGATTAGAAGACCTGGCCTTAAATTATGAAAATGCTGCAAAAATTATAATTTTACTTCTTTATTTCGCTGTGCTAGTTTAATTGGTCTTCATGAAAAGGCATTTAGATGTCTTTTAATCTTACCCAGAAATGTGTTTATCCTACACAGTAAATAGAAATGTTTTCATGCTTTTTAATAAAAAATGTCATTCTGTAGGCTGCCAACAAGATGGAGGAATATGATGAACTCTTGAAGAGCATGGAAGTTTGGATAGAAAACACCAGTTGCTTGCTAAAAACAGATACTCAAAATAATTCTGCAAAAAGTCTAAGCAAACATGCAGATACCCTTCAAGTAAGTGCTAATGCAGATCTGCAGTCTTGTTAGAACTACTTGCTCTATATTGACAAAATTTTACATTCATAAATCTTATTGGCATAAATAATTTATCATTTTCAGTAAATTTTCTAAGTGAAAAAAAGAAAGCAGACGTGCATGAAATACAGACATGTCTTTACAAGATGCTCAGTACAAGAAAGACGTGGACTTGCTGGAGTGAGTCCAGCAAAGGGCCGCAAAGTTGATTAAGGGCCTGGAGCAGCTGTCACATGAATAGAAGTTGAGGGAGCTGTTACTGTGTAGCTTAGAGAAGAGGTCCCTCAGGAAGGATCTTTTCTGTGTGTAAATACCTGATGGGGGTGAGTGTAGTGAAAAAGGGGCCAGACTTCTCAGTGGTGCCCAGTGGCAGGATGAGAGGTTATAGACACAAGCTGAAACACAGGAAATTCAGTCTGAACACTTTTTCCCTGTCAGGGTGGTTGGACTCTGGAATAGGTTGCCCAGAGACATTGTAAAGTCACCATCCTTGGGGATACTCAAACCCCAGCTAGATGTGGTCCTGGGCAAGCTGCTGTAGCTGACCCAGCTTGAGCTGGGGAGTTGGACAGATGATTTCCAGAGCTCTCTTCCAACCCCAATGATTCTGTGATTTTGTTTCAGTGTTGGATATATCTGTCTTGTGAAAGTGATGACCTTTAGTATATCTATCTTCCAAAAATGTGAAATTGTCATCTTTAACCCAGCTCTATGGCTATAATCATTTTTTTACTGCTGGAGTATATACAGTTCTTTCTGTATCGTATAAGCTGATCCAAAATCATTAAAGCAGCCTTTTGATGTCTGTGTGCTAGATGGATACTTTGAAGTGAATTGTAGTTTGGAAGGCCGTTCTCTTTGTATCTTGAAGGTAATTGTGATAGGTAATTTCAAGAAGCAAAAGTTTGTAATAATACAGAGAACTGTGGCCAGACTGGTGCCAAGATGATTTCCGGCAATTTTATATTTGATACATGACCTTTCTGCAAGACTCTTTCTTGGCTTAGGCCAAGAGCGAAACTTGGTGGTCTGGACATAGGTTTTTTATATTAAAAAGAATTAGGTTCCTTTTCTGAGATACAAGAAGTAGCTGACTGCCATAGATGGACAGATAGGTTACACATAGCCATGATGTGGATACTGTGATTACCAAAATCTCACTGTCTGCTTGACAAAGCATAAGCCTCCTACACTTGTGGCTTGGAGCATTGTGTGAGTTTTGGGCTGGCAAACTAATGGATTTGGAAATGCACCCAAGGCTTATCTTAGAGTCAAGGCATTCAGTCAGTGCCTTCCTTCATGCTCTGCAGACACGCTTGGATCACATGCTTTGCTTGCTCATTGTTCTGCATGAAGACATTCACTGTAATTAAATCCTCTAGCTTGCCTCTAGTGCCTCTAGTTTGTTACAGAAGACAGGAAAAATCTGCCCATCATGCATGGTTGGTCAGACATTTTCTGGAGCTCTTTGTTTCTAGAGCTGTTTGTTTCTCTGGCTGTTGCACAGGAGCTGGGGAGGTATCTTCTCCAGTATCTCATCTTTTATTTTATTTTTGGGGGTGGTAGTAGGATCTCTCTATGAGTTCGAAACCCTTCTCTGCATACTTCCTGTTAGGCGTCTGTAAACACGTTTTGTCTAATCAGTTCCATGTCATCATATTTGCCTTAAAATCATGACATTGGTATCAGATTTCTGCCTGCAGCATGCAGCAGTTCGGTCCCCGAAGGAGAGAAGTGTTTATTCTGAATTAATCTTTTGGGGAAGTATGTACTGGTAAATGACATACACCGAAAGAAACCTGATCCTTTCTGGTCTTAACTTTTCTGAAACTCTAAAGGTCTCCAGTGATAGAGGCAAACTAAGCTCCTATTTTTGTCTCTAGATGGCTTTGGAAGACTCAGAACAAAAGCAAAATCTTCTGCACAGCATCTACTCAGAACTGGAGGAGTTAACACCAGTCTTTGAAACAGACAGTGTAATGCAACAGCTCAATGAAGTAGATGGTCACATAACAGCTCTGCAACATGAGATCATAGAGGTCCTTCCACAGATCCAGCATGTGGCTGATGTAAGTTTGGCTGATTCTGATTAGCACCTTTTATCAAAGCTCCATCAGATATAATGAAACAGAGCTTATATTGCCTGCATAGAGCAAAGGCATTCTGTTTTTTGTAGGCTTCCCAAATGGATAAATTTAGTGTTTGAAAACAAACCAGCAGAAGGTGTCAGGTATCTAATTAAGCTGTGAAGTTCAAGAGTATTGATGAAATCTTTGTTTAGGAGGAGAAATACAGGGCTTGTTGACAGCAGATTAAAAGGACTGAACCTGCTGAAGGGCAGGGCTGCACATCGTAGGCGCCTAGACAGGCTGGAGAAATGGGCTGGTGGAAACACTATGAAGTTGACCAGAGGCAAAATGCGAAGCCCTGCTCCTGGGAGAGAACATGCCCAAATATCAGTGTAGGCTGAGGGGCCGACTAGCTAGAAAGCAGCTTTGCTGCAAAGGCCTGGGGATCCTAGTGGACGTGAATTAACCCAACACCATGGTCCTAGTGGGTGTGAATTGACCCAGCAGCAAGAAAGACCAACAGCATGAGCATGAGTGTAGCCAAGGCCCTCAGGAAGGTGGTCCTTCCCTTCTGTTTGGCACTTTCAAGATGAAATCTGAGTATCATGTCCAGTTTTGAGTTTCCCGGTAGAAAAAACACCTGGTCATAACCAGTGTGAGTCTATTGCATGGCCAGTGGATGGATGGTGAACATACAAGGAGAGACTGGAAGACCTAGGACTCTGCCTAGTAAAGGCTGAAAGGGGATTTTACTGCTGTCTGCTACTACGTAGGGGGAGATTATGGACAGAGCTTAGACTCCTCTTGGGGGTGTGCAGAGAAAGGATGAGCAGTAACAGGCACAAAATTTATCAAGGGGAATTCCAACTAGACTAAGCTTGCTGTAGTGAGAGTGGTTAAATACTGGATCAGAGGCCCAAAGAGAGCATGAAATCCCAAACCCGAAAGGGATGAGGTCCCAAGCAACCTTCTGAAAAGGGGGAAAGAGACCTCCCAAGGTCCCTTCTGCCCTAAATTACTCTGTGACTCTGTCTTCACGGGAGTTCACTAGCTGCAGTGCTGTATGTGAGTTCTTTTTCCTTTTGAAATATGAGTTTCCATACAGTAAGCTGAAACAATGTAGTTAGAGAAGTTTTACTCTGGTTATTGGAGTAGTGTTATGTGACTACTGGTAATTTATAATGTGATTTTTCAAAGGTGTATTAATTCTGTATTCAGTGTTTAAAGCAGACCAACTGATCACGGGTACTTAATTCCTCAAGTAGTTAATGACAGTGCATAATTCTTAGTGACTAACTTCTGGATAAGCAGCACCTAATAAAATGTGCCACATATACAGTGCTTCTTTTTCAATATTTCTCTTTTAGTTTCACTCAAAGACCACTTCTAGGCAACCATCTTCTCAAATGAAAGCTGATTTGTTTTTGGAAGGAGTTTCTAAACTGTACTATCCATAAATGTCCTCTCTCTTCCCAAAATCTAGGAACTGGATGCTATTGAATCTGATGTAAAAGTGTTTGAGAAGGATATTACCAAAATGAAGAAACTCTTGTCATCAGAAGATTTGCTAGAATATTCTCCTACAGATCATCTTAAACATGGACAGGTGTGTGAAAACTCCTTCATAAACCTTTTTCCTCCTATGTACTGTGCATAAATTACCAGCTTTCACAAACATAAGGCTGTTCTGTGACTGCAGCCTACCATGAATGAGTGTATACATGCAAATCCTAAGGTGGGAGATGGTAACTTTGGGGTGATTCCTTTCAGAGGCACAGTCCTGGTGTTTCAGGACATACCCACAGATAATTTGAGACAGACATGTGCTGATCCTCCCTCTAAAAAGACATCCATATTGAAGAGTCCCATTCTTGCTGTAGTGAAGTGTCTCCATATTTTGAATAATTTGTGGCCTGATTTTTCAGAGACATTTACTGCACACTCCTCCACTGAACAGCAATCCATAGGTAATCAGAAAGTATGAATATCAGGTCCTACATTTCCAAAAATTAAGGCAAAATTTAGCAGATGCTACTGCAAATGTAGGCTGCAATGACTAATCACAAAGTCACTCACACATGCGGAGACTTTGCTGCAAAGATATCTTGGCCACATGGTTTTCCATTCTCTGCTTGAGTACAATAAAGCAGAACTTGATGGCATCTTTTCTTTTATACCACCTGCAGTCCACATTGGTAAGTGGACGAAAATGCAAAATGCATTGGTTGAGTTTCAACCCATGATAACCTGAAAATGTTATCATACCTTTCATAGCTTTGTTATCTGATGAGCAATTTTGTAATGACTGCATTATATGACAAAAAATAAAGACGAAATATGTATTCTGAAAAATAATGCTTGTCCATTGCCATATTTTAAATTGAGGCCAGGATAGTATGCAAAAATGTCCTGACGCAGGCTGCTTCTGAACAAGAGAATAAGCATCTGTCTTCCAGTTTGTAGCCATTTAAGTGAAATTTTCCTGAAAGAGAATCTAACAAAAATGTGAATAATGAAAAGGTTTTTGTTTTTGTATTTTTTTCCACTATGATCCCATGTAAATTTGGTCTCAATGAGATTTCCAAGTTGGTGTTGCCATTCTGCCTTTGCAAAAGGAATCACTGAATCTTCTGCAAAATATGTATTGTGGTATGAAATAGTGCAGATTTCTGTTCTCCCGGAACAGATCCAGTGTTTCTAAACTGTGCATCCACTCGGTGTATAGTGATGTGAAACTGTCTGTGACAGGAAAGCTCCGAGGTTTGTTCTGCCTTCCACCCTAGTTCCCTCACCATCTTCTCAGCCAGGCTAATAGAACTGTCTTGAGGTCCTTCCGAATGGGTTAATTTTAACACAGATGGTTTCATGCCTCATTTGCAGCACAAAGCAAAAGCCTGAATTGTCTAGAGTGACATCAGAGGAGACGGTTAAGTTTTTAAGCTGTCATTCCTGCCAAACATTCAAGACTTTGAAATGACATGCATGGTAAAACAGTAGCACTCTGGATATATCCCTCTTTCATCACTGTGCAAAGTGCGTCTTCATATATATATGCAGAAAAAGCAGAACTGTAAATATAAATGATTACTTAAATTTAGTTAGGCAGCCTCAATGATTTTTGTTCCAAATGTTCCAATTTGTTCCAAGATCAAATTACTCTTCCATCTTAAATAGGAAACTCGGTTAAGATAATCTTGCACATCAGGACAATGCTATATATTTTCAGTGATTTTTCCAACTCAGTATCACATCCATCATTTCTCCTTTATCCTTACAGGTTATACTTGACCACATTGGTCCCATGCAGAAGACTATTGCTCATATACAGTCCTATGAAGAAGCACTTCAACTGCCAGGGATGAAATTACAACCTTTTCCAGTTTTCCAAAGGGCAAGACAACTTTTGAAAGAATTGAAAAAATTAGAAAAAATTACTAAGGAACAGAATGAGCTACTGGAGGTAATTGATTTGCATTCATTGATTTAAGAATATTTTCTTTAAACTGTCGCTTTTAGTTTGCAATCATCTTGATTACTAGGCAGTGTTGTCTTTACAGGAGTATGATGTATCTGCTATGTCTTCTGCATCTGGCTTTGTTCTTTTTTTTTTTTTCCCATGTAATTTGGCACTAAAGTGTGCCAATCTTGCAACTCATTTCATTCTTTTAATTTAAACACAAGAGACACCGACTTCTATTCCAAAAGCCAGCTCCTTTTGGCACCTTATGGCATTTTTGTAGTATTCTAAAAGAAATGTGGTTGCAAGTGTCTTCTGACTCACATTCCCACAATGATTTAAGTCCAGTGTCATTTGCAGGTGCTCATGTCAGGAACTTGTCAGTCCTTAAATTTACCTAGAAGTTCTCTGTTGGCAGCACTTACTTGCATACTGATGACAATGAACAGCAATATTGAAACGCAGCCAGCCCAAAGCCTGTTCCTAAAGCTGACTTCTTCAAATTCCTGAGCCAAGAAAGTGGCTTTAATTCAGCTTAATTCAAGCACAGTCTCAGGCAGAAGTAGCTATGTTGGCTCCAAACCTGAACCAACATCTCTGTCCTGCTGTGCTGAGCTATGTGCTTGTAACCAGCTTAGAGGGGTGGGGAGTATGTGCACCACGCTCTGCTGCCCCATGAGGTATCTTTGGAGGAAATCTGGAGTTCAGCTGTGCGTGTCCCCACGTCAGCAGAGTTATGGGAACGGTCGTGCGGCCCGTCCCTTTCTCAGCAGGGTAATAGCAACGCCTAGCAAAAATACCAGGGCATTTTGGTGGCATTTTCCAAAACTACGTTAGCAAAGTGGCGTGTGTTAGAACACGTAGGCTGTGACATTTTGGAGGCCAGGTAGACACGAGTGGCAGCTAAAACATGCATCTCCATCTTCAATTTTCATTTTGTGCGGTAAAGAGCACCACAAACAAAACTCAGATGCCCATGACTAATGCTTGCTTGCACTTGAAAAGAAGCAATGACTATAGGTAGTCTGTATGATCCATAGGATCTTTTTTTTAGGCTATACAGTCTCTTAAGTCTGAAAAACAGAGATGGTAAAACACACCTGATTCAGACAAGGAGATAGCAGCATAAATATGCACAAATTTACAAAGCACTTCTAACTCTTCAGAAAGAGAGTGCTTTTCAAGTACAAAGTATTATCATGAGACTTCTAACTGGTTCATGTGGAGCTTTAAGTCTAGTTTCAGACTTTTTTCTCCTTTTGGAATAGCTATAACCTTTTTCACTCAGCATTTGCCTTTATCCTGTAGGTATCCAACAATCTGTAGCTGAGACTTCTTTGTGAGAAAACAGATTGGAAAAATTACGTTTTTTGGCAGCTCGAACATCAAACTGTGCAAGAAAGAGTTTCCAGTCCTGTTGAGTGGGTTGAAAGCAACAGTATTACAATGCAAATCTATCACCAGCTAAGACATTACAAAGGATAGAGCTATTAAAGGATGGCATTATTAGCATTACATTAGGATTTTAGTAAGTATTCTCTGAGAGAGAAAACCAAACTGGAGGCAAACTACCCTTACAATTATATACATTTTTTTTTCTAAGCAGTAGTTCTGAAATTTCAGCATTTGCATGTCTCTGCACATGTTTTGCTCTCTGTGATGCAATGGGATATTGAAATAGTAACTTTTCTATAAAGAGATTGTAGTGCCATAGCTAAAAGATTCACCTGTAAGAGAAGCAAAAACCATATTAGGTACAATACAACTGTAAATGCCTCGGGGCAGGATTTCAGCTGACTAATATTTTGACTGCATGTTGCCCTTTGTGTTTTATTATGATCTGTCAAGCACCACACCTATTACTACTTAAATAATGTTATCAGGAAGAGGAGCTGGAAGGCACAGGTGCTTCTACCAGTTTTCTGTGCTGGAGAGTGGCAGTATTTGCATATTTGATGATTTGCTGTGTTTGTGTTACAGAAAGCTTTTCTGTAACAAAGGCAGTGCCTACCTGCTCTTAGCCTACAGGCAAGTGGTTGTTTTCCATGCAATAGGGAAAATCAACAATAAAAATTAAACATGAAATGACTCAGAGAGAGGCTTTGTATCTAGGTAGTGATTCAGTCCCATAAATATGGCATAATTTGCATTGTCTAAGGAAAGGATTACAATTATTTATTTATTTATTGGAAGGCAGGGATGGATGGACCCAAGGCTGTTAAGAGTATTTACACGCACACACACACATATATGTATATAACCATGCAGGTGTATTCACGTATTGGCCTGCCATGAGAGAACAATTTTGAGTCCACATACAGAATGCTCATATTCTTTAGTTAGTCAGGGGAACTAGAGCAACTATGCATCTCACCTGTGACTAAACTGATAATATTGTACTCTATGTATGGATAAGGCATATACATAGTTAGGGAATATCTCTTTCAGAAGGATTTTGCGTTTCCCATTAAACTGAACGGGAAAGACTTTATTATTTTTTGTCTTCCTCCAATTTAGCTATAGCATTAAAGTTCCCCATTAAACATCTGCCTCTGCAGCTCGGCTTTTTATCCCACCTCCTCCCGAGTGGGAAAATATTTTGCTCTTTCTTTTTAGACCTGCAAGCAAGAGAAATCATGTAGAACCTGCCTCTCGTTTGCATTTATGAGGAGGGAGCGCTGCTGTGAATTAGTGGCCTCGCAAACAGCGCGCTCATTGTTCCGAGCGGAGGCCGCTCTCTGCTTGCAGAGGTGGAGTCTGTGCTCCTGGCAATTACCAACCCCGCAGGCTGCTCTGATGCTGCCCTCGGCAGAGTAAGTTTAAGCCCCTCCATGACGGGCTGCATTTTCTTTCTTCCCTTTTGCAGAAGCCTGAGGAATAGTCTGTAGGTATCACAGGATTCTCAGATAGAGGGCTGGGAAACTGAGGGCCACTGGCTGTTCTCCAAAGTCCGTATTTTCCCCAAATACTCTAATTTGTAGATGTTAGGAGTTCTCCCTTGCCTGGGGCATTGGGACAGGCTGACAAACATCAGCAAAGCTCATGGGGAGACTCCTGATTTCTGCCTGAACAGCCAAGCCTGGGGGCTGGTGAAGTTTTGATGTCACTTCAATTTAACAGAAGTGTATTTGGCTGCTTGTAATACGTAATATGCTTTCATGTTAGAAGGGAAAGCTCATGAGAAGTGGAAATACCATTTTTGAGGAAGTATTCTAATACTTAGATACTGAGCTGGCTTATCCTCTGAGCTGTAGTTTCTGCCTGGTACAGCACAGGTGATTCTCGGTAGGCATAAATTTGGCTGGCAATGAGGACCTAAGCACCAGTTAAAAAAGAAAACTATGTTTTCTAATGCAATATGAAACTAAGAAGAAAGAACCAGGCAATTTCTGTTTGTTTTTAACCTGTTTTGAATTGTAGTGAACGTGATTAAATACACTCCACCTTGTGTTTTATAGCTGAGCGTAACCATCAGCGAAGCTCTGCAGGGAGAGTGCCCACTGCAGAGCTGTGCATGGGCACAGCAGAGCTTGTTTGTCTTTAATTAGTGAATAACGAACCTGGTGAGGATGGGATTTTGGAAAGTTACTTGAATGAGCACACAGGCTTTTTACATGTCGCTACAGATGCAAGAATGGCTCGAGTACTCTTCTGTGCGAGTGTGTTGCTTTACCAACTAGTCTGTTTCTGCCCTAATTAATTCTAAGTGATTTACAGGAATTATTCTTTCGCAGGAATCTATAAAGAAAACAGAAGAATGCGAGCAAGAAATTGAAAAGTTAAAACAGTTCTTAAAGAACCACTTGGTTGAAATGTCACATGAGAATCAGCCACTGGCCCAGAATACCTCTTGTCCTGAGGTGGGTTGCATTTTTATTTGTTTATTTATTAACTCCAGTGTCTGTTAGTTGTCCTGACTGACAGAAAACATGGTAAGACTGAGAAAAAACCAATGTGCTGCTGCTTTCTATTATAGTCATTTCCCCATGCAGCAAAGCAGGCAAGTGAATTCCATGTGTGTGCCTGCGCAGGTGTAGGTTGTCACATTCTGGGAGCTATTACAGTTAATATTATTTGCAAGGTGCATATGTCTTTATCCACTCCTTAACCGTTTTGCTGTGTCACATGTGCACGTTTGGCTATCAGATTCCAAAGAAGATTGCAGTGCTATTTCCAGCTGTTTTGGCAAGTGTGTATGCAGTGTTGGCATCCATCCTGCTAGTGTGGATGCAGCGCATGTTGTTGGCAGCAACAGCTTACGGCAGCACGTAAAAGAAGGGCTAGGTATAATATCCATTTATAAAATGCCTCCAAAATGCTCAACTTCTTGCAGTCATTCACAATAAAGTTAATACACATGCATTAATAACTATAATCACTCTGTAGGCTGCTACCTTTACAGTGACTCTGCTTTCAGGTGTGTCAATGCTGGAGGCTTGATGCTCCTAAGCACTACTCATTTTCCTGCTTCTTGTTTTTGTCTTTGAATGTGAGACTTTCTATTTAACAGCTCTTGTTTTATAGGAAAAAATCTCTCATAATTGTAGCATTTCATTAATAAAATTAGTAGTGGAAGCGCTTATCTTATTAAGGGTCTCCAAATAAGGACGTGATATCAGTAAAGGAAGAGCAAACTCAGTTTCTGTGTGGCCCTTGTTAGGTTTCTGTGAGGGTTTTTTGGCTAATTAAATTTGCAAAGCAGTAACCGTAACTGGGAAGTTTATGCTGTAAAGTCTCATCCTGCAGTGAAATAAATAGAAATTCTATTCTTAGTGGAGTTTTTAAAAAGTTATGAAGTTATGCAATTATGGAAAGCCATTTCTTCATTCCCATAGCTGCTTCTTGCCTCTACCCTTCAAAAATTTCACGTTGTGTTTTCCAATAGATAAAGGGAAAAAACATCTGTATCTGGGGTGAGCTCCCCATGTCTTCCAGAGCTCTCTGGGGTTACTGCCCCTGCCTTCATAGCACAAGTAATGGAAGAAGCAGTATGGGAGGCAAATGCCAACAATCTTAGTGATTTCCTGCACCACAGGTTATTACTTACATAGCTTTATTCACAGTGTGCTAGAGCAGCCTCTGGGATAAGTGAGCTTGTTATTATTTCAAGCAGGGCATCAAAGCTTGCTGTGGTGAACTGAGACCACTCTGCAATGGGATATTTAGCCATTGCTCAGTCTTCTGAGCAGCAAAGAGCTTTGGCACTTTCAGTAATGAAGAAAGTAGAGCCTCGGGGGCATTTTATTCCCTGCTCTCTCTTAGTGTGCTGTCCCTTTTCCTTTCTCTGCTGGCTTAGAGATGTGGTGGTAAGGAGAGGCCTTAGTAAGAGATCTAGAGAGATAGTCATGTCCATGGAGAAGAGCAAGACAGATTTATTTTCTCCTTTGCTAGTGCAAAGTTACTCAGGCATGCTGTTTAATCTCTGCACGACATGACCTGTATTTTCTTTATACTTCCTTAGAGACCATTGCTCCCAACGTGACATTCAAAGACAGTAGATGGTTCTTGTTCCTAGCTACATCAATCAAACTCTCTCAAACTGCTTGCATTTCCTTCTTTCGCACAGCCTGCAGCAAAGACACCACACTCCTGAGCTTCCTACCACGTGTATTTGCCCTCCTCTGACCTTTCCCAAGTGTTTTGAGTTGGGTTTGCAGAGACAGCAGCTGGAGGTAGCATCACCTGCTCTGACTCATCAGGCAATGCAGCCCAGCTGCATTCCCTCCCTGGCCTAAGGGGGGGACTCTGATGCTCACAGTCGCGCAGGACACAGTCAGAACGAGTTATCCTGCTTTTCCCATTTACTTCCAGATTCCCCACATCCACATTACAGGTGGTGAGCGCTGTTCCGAGCTGCATCTGTTGCTACTCCTCTACGCGTGCCTGCACACCTTGTGTAGTGGCAATGGGGAACTGTCCCAATGCCCACAAAAAGGAAAAAGGGCAAAGAGCCCCAGTAAGATGCCTCACTGGTGCCATTTATACATTATCACCTGGTTAAGTAAGAAAAATGTGTACTTACAGTTGTTGTTGATCCTTAGGGAGAAATGGAAGCTGTAAAAGAAGAAATCATCAAGCTGTGCCAAAAGAAGGAAGATATCCTTGCCAGGATGGAGCATTCAATGTCTGAGCTTTACCAGCGCTTACAGCAAGAAGTGCCTGAACCAGACGATGAACCCACGGCCTCTCTGTTAGCAGAAAGTGACTTGAGTGGAACCGGTATTCCTGAGCAGCAGGTAAGTGGAGCAACATGCTGCAGTTGCTTACCAGGAGCCAAAGAGGAAGGCAAATACTTCCTTCTCCAGGAGGAGGGAGAGAAGCATTCCTGCAGCTGTGAATGACTATTACTTCTGCTCCCTTCTGCTCCAGCTGCCTTAGCCCTGCATGCTCTGCTTTTGGATGGTCCCAGAAGGAGTGGGTATGATGTATGGCTGGGAGAGAGGAGTGCGATGTGAGTTGGGTTATTTTTGAGCAGGGGCAGTAATTTGCATCATGCAATCACCAGCGAAATGCTAGTTCTGTGATTTCATTGACAATCAGTTGTTCTGAGATGTTCAGTAAATGCTTTTCATGGAGCAAAAAAAAAATTGCCATGTTAGAACATTACAGCACAGAAGTTCCAACTTTGCAAAGATCTTACTCCCTGCAGCTTTCAATTACTTTAGTTTAGAGGAGCAGATGCTCAGTGCTTCTCCAGAGTTGGACCCCAATGATAACTTTCCTTTAATTTACAGGCAGAAAAGGAGAGGCTTTTAGTGTTGTTGTCATGCCTAATGGTGCTGTCTTTTTGTGTGCATTTTGTAGTTGAGAAAAAGAGGAATGTTGTCTCTTCTGCCTTCTGTAGATGAAGAGTCAGAAGATGGCTCTTTCCACAGTAAGGTAAGTTTAAGAGACACTGATGTATGTATGACATTAAAGTTTACTTTAAGACAAGTTACGAAAAACAAGTAAACATGAAAAACTTTAGAACAAATTGAAACATCTGTTGTCACTCTAAGAACAGTAGTAAAATAATGCAGTTAAGTTAGAGGCTGACAGAAGTTATACAGCACCTCATTTTATGATGTGTGATCTTGCTTTTGATGGGATTGCTTATAATGTCTATGGGACTGTTAGTTACAGAGTATGGGCCTAAATGCCAATGGTTGTATGTAGGTGTCTTGCAGACAGCATTAGGCATTCCCCGAAGTGCTAAAAAATTAAAAGTATCATGTAATTACTTTGTACTAATAAGTTTAAGAAAAAAAGGAAGTGTATGATTACTGGGAATGAAATCAAGATAAGGGAGGCTCCCTGGAGAGCAGGAGAAACTAGGAAATAGTGCTTAACAGGCTGCTCTCAGTGTGTGGAGTCTGAGTGCCCAGACAGATTGGGGGTTGCATTAGGCTAGGTAAGGATGAAACTCCATGGCCAGGTGCTGCGAGAAAGGCCTGAGTGGCTCCAGTCAGCTTCATTTCCTTATCTCTGATCCAAGCACTTCAGTTTCAAAGTTTCTGATTCTGCACTTTTGTCATAGCAGCTTAGTTGATGTAAAGGGTTACTGGGATTTGCTTTTCTTTTTGGGGGACAGGACAGGAGAAAGATTGATTTTCTTGGAATAATGTAAAAAAACTTAAGTTTCTAGAGAAAACTCTGTGTTATCCAGCTGCCACTCACCTTACAGCAGAGCTACAGAGCAGGGGAAGCAGCAGGATCTGGGAAACACAGTAAAGATAGATAAGCAAGGTAGAACAGAGCAAAGTGTGTCTAAAGGTTTGCAGTACTTTACATTCCCTGAAGGGCCATGGAAGCATCCTGTCCACAAGCTAATGCTGAGCTGTTACTGCTTTCAAAGGGGAGTACGGCCACAGAGCCGGGCGGGAGCCGCTGGCCTTTGGGGAGAGACCATGAAAGGCACCAAGAAGACAGCGCAGCGTCCTGGTCTTCTGGCACCCTGTCGGATGGCATTGCTCAGGTAACGTGCTAAGGCAGGAGCCCTTTTCTGTGAAGGGGTCTGCACAGGTCCTGTGTGAAGTCCATACAGTAGAAGTGCTTTAGAAATGCGGGAAACGCTAGGTTTTGCATGTCCTTGCCTGAAGCCATTTTTAAATTTTCTTCTAGTGTGACAAAAACCCCAAAGACAGAACCACCCCCCCACACACACCTTTTTTTTTTAAGCAGCAGTTCACTTCAAGCAGTCCTTGGAAAGGCCACAAGATGTGCAATTTTCAGGGGGCTCTGCTGCAGGGATAAGAGAACTTCCCTCTGTACATGTCCTTGGCCCAGCCCCGCTATGGGTTGTGTGGCTGCTGCCCTTTAGGGTTGCTATAGCAAGGCAAGGCAATACTGACACAAACATTAATGCTGCTGCCTCTCTCTGTACAGGATGCTGATGAGATAATAGAGCCATGTGGGAAGCGTGGTGAGGAAACATTTCCACAGACACTGCAGAGCACAGAAGGCACTGGTCCAGGCCTGGCAAGTCAGGCCTTGGTAAGTTTGAAGGCCTCAGATAGGCTAAACATGGTGACCTTCTGGACCTGCTGCACACCCCAGCTGTGTTGCTGCTTTGTGTTGTTTGGAAGGCACATGCTAGGAGAAGAGTGAGCAGTGACCTATGGGTTATGTGCAGAAGAGGGTATGGAGACAGGCCTGAATGCTCCAGCAAGGCCAGGAGCAGCAAGCATCATGGGGCAGCTTCCAACATTCAGCTCTTACAGGGTTTGGAGCAGGAAAGGAGCCAGAACTCATCTCCCAGTGCAGCAGGCACAGGCCTCCAGATTGCTTTGCCTCTGTCTGCTACTGACTCCTTCCACCAGGCTTAACCTGTAATTCATAATTAAAGAAACAATCAGGATTGGGGGAGAATCTGACTTACCCTCTGTTCAGGTGTTTCCAGTTTCTGCGCGGGAGAAAAGGATGTAGTGCAGTGTGTTTGGTTCTGCATTAGCATTATTTTGTGCACACCACACCTGCAGCTTGGCGTGAGTGTGGTACCTGGAGAAAAGGATGTAGTGCAGTGAGTTTAGTTCTGCGTTAGCATCATTTTGTGTTACACCTGCAGCTTGGCGTGAGTGTGGTAGCTGTGTCGTAGCCATGTGCATGACTTTTCCACGTCCTTCTTCTGTGTTCTGCTGCTGCTGGTCATTACCTACGGTGTCTCGACTCTCTTTGTAGTCATTGGAGGTGACTGTAGTAACTACAGCACAGCAGAGAGCAGCTCAGCTGAGTGTTTGCTGCCTCTTGTAGGCTGAGCCAAAGCACTGGCTGCGCTGAGAAAATATCCATTGAGGATAACGGGAATTTAGACACCAATATGAGCTGCTGGGATTACCAGGGTTCCTGCAGGATAGTGCATGGAGTGTGTAGGGTAGGAGAGGGTATGCAGGATAGCTGGTCCTTCTGTGTACCCCACTGCATTCCCCCGGCCTCGTGCCCTCAGGCACCTCTGCCCTGACGTTCCAGTGATGCCGGCCTGGAGGAGCAGTTTCCTGAGGCAGATACGGCTGCTCCATGGGGGATGCAAAGCACTGCTGGGCTATGAGCCTGGTCCCCCGCTGCTCCTGCAGCCAGGTTTCTCTTGGAGAAAGCTTTCTTTCCTCAAGCCATGCCAGGCAGCTTTTTTTTTTTTTTTTTTTGGTCTGTGATTTTTTTATTATTATTATTATTTCAGTGTTTTCCTGTATTGAGACATTTCCCTATGCTTTACTATTCCCCATAATAGTAACTTGTTTTGTTAAATGATTTATTTATACTGTATGGCAGAAGGACCCTTAGGTTAATAAATATTAAATCCATTTGTTTGCCCCGGGGACTTGTGTGTGTTTAGAGTTTTATGTAGTCAATAATTATGTTTTCCATTTAGTGTGCAATTTTATAGCACACTAAATTGCACATCAATTTTATTGCACACTAAAATTAAATTGCTCCTACTATCTTGGTGCTTGCTAAATGGTAACCATTTCTTCCTCTGTCCCCACCTTCCACCTTGTTGCTCCTCACACACACACACACACACACACACGCTTCCAAATGCAGTTATAGCAGCCTAAAACATAATTTAGGCTTCAGAGACGTGTTTGAGGTATTGTGTGTTAGCAGAGTTGTGGTATCTGTCCACTACGTGTCCTGTATGGACTCACTCTCAGCATGTGGATTACATGATGTGTGCATGAAGCTGAACATACATCTGCTCAGATGATACTAGTTTATCATCTAGATCAAGGAATTTAATGATATATTTTAGTTTTTGTAAAGAAAGGAGAAAAAATGCAGTAACAGTGTCTACTTGGGCAAGGGCAGAGCATGTCATTAAGTGGAAGCAAAATATTTAGTTATCATTACAATTAAACTGAACAAAAAAAATCCTTAAGCAGCAGAATACATTTAAATGAACAAACTAGAGCTGAAAATTTCAGATGGAAGTTGAAGGGGACTATCACTCTTTTATACCTTCAACCACATGTACCTAAATGTTTAGACTATTTGTATTTTCTTTCTGTGTTTAGTGGCACTGTCCCAAGCTATCTTGGAGGCAAACAAATACAGGAACAATTACAGTAAGAGCTGATAGCTGATAAAATGTTTTCCAGCTCTCTGGTTTTCTGCCAAATCCTATTCTGAAATGAAGCAGATACAGAGACAGCTGAGACAGTCAATAGTAGTTTACAGTCTACAGCCACAAGAGGGTGCAGGGAGTTTTGTACTTGTGTTGTCGTGCTTGGTTTGCATATGTAAGTTTAGGTGCTTGCACTTGTAGATGATTTACAGACTTGTGTACGCTTCAAGTAACTGCAGGTATCTCTGTGCTCTTTAAACTTCTTTACTGCAGAAGTGTCTGCTCTTACCTCTTAAAGGAGAGCACATAAAAGGACTTATCAAAGCCGTACTTAAAAATACACATTTTTTCCCCACGGTGTGACCTAGAGCCCAAATAAAGCGTACTTGGCTCTTGGGACAGACTGTGCGCAAGGAGCGTCTAAGCGTTGCCCAACAGCTCCCTTTGGAGCTGGAGCAGCAGCGCGGCCGCGGCCGGCTCCCACAGCAAAACACCTCTCCTCAGGGGAGAGCTGGTTCCTGGTGAGTCACCTCACTTCCTGCGTGCTCAGGTACACCTGGGCAAATGCAAATCCGCTCCTTGGAAACCTGTTGCGCCGGATCCCGGGATCGCCGGGTTTTCCTTCCTTTTTTTTTTTCCTTAACCTGGGAACACGGTGACGAATTGCTCTGTGCTCTGCGAGTGTCAGAGTTAAACATGCCCTGCTGGTAAGAGGAGGATTAAAAAATATAGCAAACGAACGAACATAAAGAAGCTAATGGTGTTTTCCTCCCCTCCCCACCCCCGTGTGCTTTGCTGCAGAGCACCCTGCCACCTCGCACC